CTTCCCAGTCTGTACCACCCCATCGTCTTCATGGCCACTGGAGGGCTCTAGTTGGATAAAACAGCAACAGTAATAATAGCTCCCAGTGTTGCACTCTGTCCAGAGTTTTCCTCAGCATCCTCCTGTCCAGTGGTTAGCACGGTTCAGTCTCCATTCTTTTCTCCACATTGTTCCTGTGAGGCCCCTCAGCAGTCCCTGGTCTCTGTCATTCCTTGAGCCTTTTGCATGTCTGTTTCTTCCTTACCTCCTTCAGTCCTGATGTAGTTCTTGACCCAGGGTTCCTGCTGCCACACAATGACATATTCTGATGCATGTAAATGCATGTATGGTCCCTGATTTGTCAGTCTGTGTGTGCCTGCTTAGCAAAGCTGAGTACCACTGGGTTCCCTAGGCATGGCCCGAGTACTGCTCTCTTGCTTGGCAGAGTAAGACTTGTCATGGCTTCAGTAAAATTTCATGCAGGTCAACAGAGAATATTCTTTAAGATTTTGAAGTGAGGGAACACAAGTATTCTTGCTGTTCTGACCAAATACTGGACAGGAAGTGACTTCAGGGAGGAAGAGTTTAGTTTGAGTGGCTGCAGGTCATGCAGCAAGGGTGTGAGTGGGTAGAGGTCATGCAGCAAGGGTGTGAGTGGCTGGAGGTCATGCAGCAAGGGTGTGAGTGGGTAGAGGTCATGCAGCAAGGGTGTGAGTGGCTGGAGGTCATGCAGCACAGGTGTGAGTGGGTAAAAGTCATGTGGCATGGGTGTGAGTGGATGATCACATTACATACAAAGTCAGGGAACAAGAGAGTGACAAATGCTCGTGTACAGCTTACTTCTTTCTCCTCCTTTCCAGGGTCCTGGCCCGTGGAGTAATACCACCCATTGTAGGTTGGGTTATCACACATCAGTTACTCAATCTAGACAACTCTCTCATAGATATGTCAGAGGTTTGTCTTCTAGGTGATTTTAGACCCTGTGAAGTTGACAATCAATATTAGCCATCACAGGGGCTTATGTATAATGTCTGTGCCTGTATGTAGTACTTAGGAGGCTAAGGCAGGAGGATCATGAGTTAGAGACCAGCCTTGGCTATATCACAAGAACTTGGCTTACTACAGCAACAACGAAAGACCTGGATGAGCTATCCATCTGGGCATGTGATTCCTGTAGTGACCTGGTGGGAAAGCCGGCAGCATGGATGCCAGTTCACTTTGGCTGACCCAAGATGCTATTCTTCTCCTGTTTGGCTGTCATCAATGCAGTTGGAGTCCCAGTGTTCTCATCAGAAGCTCCTTCAGAAATGTTTGACCCTGCAGCTAATCTAATTAGGAAGAAAAGATGGACTAACGTGGGATGCAGTGAGAGAGAAAGGGGGAGATACTGGGGGTTGGGGGACGGGAGGATGGAAAGGGTGGATGGAGACAGTGAGGCAAACAGAACTGTTTGTGCCCTTGATTTGTTCCATAATGAGCCATTTTGTAACTTCCATCCCAGAGAATGAGAAATAGTGTAAGGTAAGGGGGCATTTAATTTTGGGGGTATATTTTCCATCTTAGGTATCTGTATTTAAAACTTAAAACCAGAAGCCATGAGGTATTAAACCCCCATGGCCACTTAGCACTTGTGACCGGATCCCCTATTGCAGATGCTAGGAAACCTTGCTGCCCATTGTTTAAAAATGCCTTCTGTTATTTATTCTCTTCATATTATTAGCGTTAAATATTCTCCTGCACCCACTGGCTATCTCCTTGCGGTTAAGTTTCTGCAATTTAAACATTGTCATGAAGTTAATTTTTTATAAGATGAATCAGGTTATTAAATTTAGTAAACCATTGCCTTCATTATTTTGCACCAACTTTGGCACCATGCAGGATTGGCTTAGCACTACCACATTTAGCTAATTAAGCTGGCCATCAGCCGCAGTGTTACAAGCGTGAGGGATGCTGTCCTCCTGGGCTTTACCCAGGACTTAGCAGTAGGTAATGTTATTAAACTTTTTTTTTTTTAATTTATAAAACTCCATACTCTGGAGATGTGGTTTGCTATAAATGTGTTATTGTCCTTGCTGTTAAACCATCATCTTTTGAAATATCTCCCGCTTTGTTTTTGCTCCAAAGGCGGTTGTAAAGGATTAGAAAATGGACTTGTCGGCTGTAGCTTTGACAAGTCGACTAGCCGCGTGTACAGCTCCATTTAGATAAAGGGAGATGGAAGGTCCAGAAAATAACTTTACGAGACACAGAGACGAATGACTTAGCCATAGTCCCGGTCAAGATGTATCTGAGGGAGAGAAGGTACAGGCTTGCCCCAGCAGCCTGTTGCTGCCATCACACTAGATGCCCAGCTTCCAGTAATACAGGATCCTACACAGCAAGTCATTTTGTCAACTGAGATAGCCTAACTTAATAGGTTTGTTCGCGAAGATAAAAGGTGATGGAAAAGGCTGTTTTCTCCCTGTAGATTTCTAAGTAGTGTCTTTCCAAACTGAAGTGAGTAGTATTCTTATAGGATTTTAATATTCAGTCTTTACTAAAAAGCCGGTTTAGAGGTTCATCAGGGTTGCTATTCAAAATAAGGTGGATTATTTCAAAGCTGCACAACATTTTGACCTATTAGCAGTCTGTATAAACCATCCCCTCCTTAGTGAATCCTTCTGGGATTCAGAAATAACCAGGCAGGAGAGAATAGTTTACTGCTAATCTGGAGAGCTGAATACAGCGCCAACAACTGCCTGGTCTTGTATCATGCTGATCCCCTTTCATCCATAAATAATACATTTGTTTTAGTGTTGTTTACACCTGTAATCCCAATACTCAGGAGGTAGGGCCAGGAGAATTGAAATTTGAGGCCAGCCTGGGCTACATAGTTTCAAGCCATCCTAAGATACAGGGCAAGATCTTGTCTCAAACAAAGCAAAACGGTTCCCAAGGAATGTTTGGAAACTGTGCCATCTTACATAATTTATATTTTGATACCATTTAATTGAAATATTATTAAAATATTTCTGGTCATTGCATTGACATGAAAATTTAGGAGGGATAGAGGTTTTGCCATTTTCTCCAAGATCTTGTGGTTGCATCAGGTGCTAGGGTGACAGATGAAGGTGTTGTTGACCCCTTGGTACTACCTGTTATTCTTTCAGTCCCCACCCCTTTCCACGCCCACTCCCACTCGCCTCATCTGAAAACTCTCTCTTCCTGTTCTTTTCCGGTGTGCACATGGGTCTTTGCCTCTCTCTTCTCTCTCTCTCTCTCTCTCTCTCTCTCTCTCTCTCTCTCTCTCTCTCTCTCTCTCTCTCTCCTTCTCTCCTTTAATAAATGTTTATGGCAGTTTTCTGTGTCTATGGATCTGTTTACTCGTGCCCACCTGCTGTTGGGAACCTGCAGCCGCTTGGCTCTCCCCAGACCCGCACGGGCTAGCCCTGCCCGCTCGCCACATGCCCGCCCCGATGGGCCACTGTTCGTAAATCGCCCGGGGATCTTGCAGGGACCCACAACCGTCTCTGCCGGGCTAGCAGCAGCTGCTCCGTGAACATTTTAAGAATAAAACTATCTATCTACCATCTGTCTGTCTGTCTGTTTGTATACATCTATGATTCATTCTTCAGATTTTCTAGTTGTTCTCTCTAGGAAGGCCAAAGGAAGGGCCTAGGACACATAGACAGCCACAGTTGCTGCATTTGTAAGTTCTGGAAACACTCATCATAGATCAGAGCATGGATTGTGGGAGACCAGCTTCGATAAAAATACCATTTCCAGGGTAGGGGCATGGGGCTTAGAAAAATAAGTAAAGAGAATGAAGATGCGAGTGAAAATAATAAAAACAGAAAACATAGGAGAGTACTGGGAGGGAATTCCAGTGAATCGCCTGCATTTAATTTCCAATTGCTTAAAATACCTCATGCCAAAAGGCAGGAGTAAGATAAAAAATTGCATTAACATGATAAAAAGAAATGAACATATCAGTTGAAGCTTGCGGGCTACATTTATAGTTAAACACTTCTGTTGCTAGAACAAGACAAGTACAGTTCACACCCTAGACTAAAACATCCTGTAGGCAACAAACCACTCCCTGTGTGCAATCTATTATTATCTCCCTAAAGGAACTGGAACCTTAGTTGGATCCTTAGACTTCTGTTTGGGATAGCTACAGATCTACTTACACTCGACTTACCAGGTCTGGATATTAGCTACACCTTGTTGACAATAATAACCTTGAGAGAAGAGAACTCTGACCTAAATCTAGGTGGGACCTTTGTTTGAGGTAGACTCACAATAACCTTTTAGAAATAGAAGTAAGTTTCAACTCTCTGACAGTCTATCAGGGTGGAATGGCAGCAACGTTGAGCAAGCCGAAACTCTCTGACCTTCAGACAAGGTGGAAATAGGCTCACATTTTTGGGCCTCCACATGGGGCTTCTCATTAAGCAAAGGGTTTAGTCAATCGTGGTAGTGAAGCAACTGGCTGTGGCCTGAACTCTTCTTGGACTGGGTCTTAACCTTTGAGGTTGCTGTATTTGTTGGGCCAGCTATCTCAAATCTTGCTGTTGATATTTTCTGTCAACAGGGCTCTGCTGTGCGTGGTTCTCAACCTGTGGGTCATGACCCATTGGGAGGGTCACCTAAGACCATCAGAAAACACAGTTATTCATATTACAGTTTATAATCATAACAAACTTACAGTTAAGAAGTAGCAATGAAAATAATTTAATGGTTGGGGGTCACCTCAACATGAGAAACTGGATTAGGGTCCAGAATTAGAAAGATTTAGAACCACTGGTCTGAATTAAGACATTTTGTTTATTATGTCATTAAAGCTACTAACACTCCACAGTTTCACTCACTGAACATATCTCCTGACCTGTCCCCTCCCCGGTCCCCTGCCCCCTGGCACAGAATCACCTCTGGTTAAGAACCACTCAGTTTTGTCAGTGGTGTGTCCACTAATGGTCCTTCATGACTCACGTGTTGGCACTAGCATTGTTTCTAATGTACTTTTTTTTTTTTAATTACAGGGTTCGAAACCGCCAAGTCCTTTGCTCTCCATGGTGCACACGTGATCCTGGCCTGCAGGCACATGAGCAGAGCCAGCGAGGCAGTGTCCCGCATTCTGGAAGAATGGGTAAGTGCTTGGCTGCTTTGTGTTTTAATTGTCGAATGTGTACACCCGGCCGAGTGCGCAGAGATTTCAGCGCAGCACATAAAGTTTATTGCTCTTGGAATACCGTCTTTGTTTTCAAAGTCATCTTCACGTTGTTTACTTTATGAAGGGAAGGATGAGTGAGACAGTCATTACCCACGCGCTTGTTTATAGTTCACTGCCAGTGTCACCGGGTTTATTACTCAGAGATTTGAAGATGTTTACTTATTTAAATCTTTTATTAAGAGAAATAAAACATAGCCAATGCCAATGAATGACACTGGGATGTGTGTGCTCATACAGCATTGTTTCTACACTTCTGCAGTTATTTATTTACATATGTACTTCACTTTTCACCGTTTCATGCATGTATGTTATGCATGTTACCATTTCCATCGCCCCGTTTCCCTCTCTAATCCCCCCTCCTCCTGCTGAAACCCTTCTTCCCTACGGGTCCCCCTTTGCCCTCATGAAGTAGGAGGTAAGCTGTGCGAACAGCAGGGGAGTGACACAGAAGGGTCTCCCCAGGGGATTCTGGGCTGTCAGATTCATGAGGGAGAAAGATGGTAATGTCCAGATGAGTCTTCTTTTCCTGCAGAGTGAGAAGGTAAAAATCACAAAGAAAAAGTCCTTCCTGGTCCTTGAAAGGTTAACATCTTTCTTGTGCACCCTTCCAGAAAAGGCTTCAAATGTTAGCAAACTCGTGCACATGCTGCTGTCTGCTTCGTCTGTCTCTCTCAGTGCACCAGAGGGAACGAACATTGGGTTGGCTAAAGTTCCAGCCTAGAATTGACTGACTCCTTTGCTTTAAGACTGGTGAAGAAAAAAGCCATCATGGTAGAAGGGCATGGTGAGGAAGGAAGCATGCCAGGAAGAGGGAGAGAAAGAGAGGGAGAAGGGGAGGGAGGGAAAGAAGGGAGTGCTGTAACTGATGTGGGGGATCGATGGATTGATTGATTGACTGGGGTTTAAGTGTATTTATCTCTAGAATACTTCATGCCCTAGTGATCTGTTTTTGTAAACTAGGCTCCGCTTCCTAGGTTTCATCACCTCCCAACAGGGACATCAGTGACTCTCTCTTCTTTTCATGTTAGGCCATAACTCTGTCGGTGTAAGGCAGCCTCAGAGGATGGGAATTATCACTGTGTAGTTTCACCAAACAGTTTCTTGATGTAGAGGAATGATTACCTCAAAACATTCAACTTAAGGACCTGGGAACAAGAAACACTAGTGAAGACAACTGTCTTCGATGCAGTTCAAACATTGAAATTGCATCACAGAGTGTTTGGACTATAAAAACTCAACCCTTTTGTGATACCTACCAGGGTACTTACTCTCTGTGTGTTCCTCACTCTCCCAAGATGGTGTTTACAGAAGCCCGGGTTTATCACCTAAAAACCATGGTCACCATTTCCTGTCACTGCTGTGTCCCAGCAATGTAGAGACCCAGTCCTGGTCACCTTTCTTATGTTTGGCCTCCACACCTTCCCCATATGCTTCCCTTGACCTTGCTGGTCTGACTTTCTTCAGGCCCCTCCTTTTTTCTCACCTTTACACAAGGGCTCTCACTTGGCTTTTCAGTAAGGATTGTCAAGGTCAATCGGATCCACTGCAGGTTTTCAGTCTTTGAGCCAGCTTGGGTGTGTTCATCCTTTGCCTTGGATGGACCATATCTGTGCCTCACTGGGGATGTACTGAGATATATTGCCACGCCGTGGGAGGTTCTCAGAGTGGTCCAGGGTTTTTTGTTGCAGCAAGAGCTCATTCAAAAGTCCCTGGGCATTTTTGGCTCCACATTGATTCTCAAGTGCCAAGACTCTGTGGGCATCTTTAGCTCTGTTATGGAGATATAGAGTTGGTTTCTCTATATACTCAGCTTGTTTCTCCCAACCTGGGCTTTCTCTTCAAGTTCCACTGTAGCTTCCAGGATCACCATTTTCTCAATGTTTCATGTCTGTGTCTTAGCCAGTGGAATGACTGTCTTCATTCACAGTGTTGGAGCAGCTAGTCGCCCTCATTCACGGAATTCCTGTCATGTACTATGTCCAGCCACGGCCCATTACAACCAAAAACCTAGTCGTCTTCATTTCACAGAGGAGCCAAGGGGCGGCTCTGCCAGAGAGGGATGGTGCCCAGAGCCAAGTAGCTCATGAGCTCATGTTTACGCCATCTGCCTTGAAGAGCAGCTTCTCTGAGTGTCACATCCTTAACTCGCAGCTTTTGCTTTAGATCCTTTGGTGACACTCAAATGGTTTGTTTCAGGACCAGTGACACTTTGAGAAAGCAACTCCTTGACATGGACATAACCACACCCTTCCTCCTCTCCCTCCTCCCCCACTACTATTCTCCTCCTTCTCTCCCTCCTGCTCTTATATCCCCTCCTCACCCTGTGACAGGGTCTTAATCTGTAGTATGTTCTGGCTGAGTATTCACTACGTAGTCCAGGCTGGCTTGAATTTATGACATTCCTGTTTTAGTCCCTCAAGTGGTGAGATTACTGGTGTGCACCACCAGATCCTGCTCTGGGTCTTTTCAGTGGCCAGAGCTGATCTGATATTGAACTTACTAAGGACCACAGTGAATACAGTAGACCTTCTTTCTTGCGACATCCCAAAACATCTTTGCACATATCCAGATGCTTCTAGGAATGCATTCCATTCCTGGCTAATTATCACCGTTATAAAAGTATACTGCAGAGCTGGAAAGTGAATAAAACTGTGTGCTGCTCTTGTGCAGGGAGGAGGACCCAAGTTTGGGTCTCAGCACCCACTCTGAGCAACTCACAGTTGCCTGTAACTACAGCTTCAGGAGATCCAATGCTCTGCATCTGTGGGTACCTGCCCTCACATGCACAAACCCTCATACGGGTACACATGCATACACAGTAATAAAAAAATAAAGCTATAGTATGTTGGCAAAGATTAGAAACAGATACACACTATGACCTTGGGCAAGTGTCTGAACTTATGGAAGTTTCAGCTTCTTCATCTATAAAATACAGATTATGGTGTCTGTTTCAAGACATAGGTGGTTTGCAGTAAACACAACTGTGTGCAAGTAAAATATTAGCAGAAGGTAGAGCAAGATTAAGTATTCAACTAAATGCCAGCTGCCTTGATTAATAACAGTGATGAAGATAATTTCTTACGTGTGCATGGAGAGCATAATGAAGCTTGCTTTTCTTACCCTCAACAAGTGGCTGAAAGAGGGGCTGTAAGTAGGATGTTTACCAACAAAACTGAAGTGAAATCACAATGGATTGTTTCCCTGGCTTTTTATGTCTGGACTCCTACATTTCAATAGATGTGCATTTAGTTGGTTGATGAGTATTTCCAGAGCATTCCATATTAGCTCTCAGCTGTCATTTGAAAGCTGTCTTCATTATTTATGTGATTGCTTTTCCTTTTGCATTTACAAAGAACTGCCCTTTGCATATGTCCAGGAAAGGCGGTTGAGGGCTCAGTCACCAGGAACAGCAAGCATTGAGAAAGGAGGGAGAAGAGAGATTTAAAAAAGTGCAGAAGATTTATTAGTGATGGTAATGCAATGTGTGTGTGGCAGAGAACACATGCTGGGTTGATTGTAGCCACCTGATTTAATGCTGCAGCATTAAGTTACTCCAGCTGTGGATGGCTTCCTTTCCACATCTGCTCATCTCCCTGGAGCCAAGGCATGTGGACAGCTCTGGTGGCGGTGTGTCCCTACAACCTCATTGGTCAGCATCAGAAATATGGAGAACTTGGTGCGAGACATTATGTGGGGCTTGTCCCACTGACACTTGGCTTAGAGTTTTACTTTTTGAGACAGGGTCTCACCTGTGTAGTCGTAGCTATCCTAAAACTCATATGTAAAACCAGGCTGATCTGGTAGACGTGCCTGTCTCTGAGTGATGGGATTAAAGGAGCCACACTGATCATGGCTGGGCTTTCTATACTACGGACACCTTGTTTTCATGGTGGGCTCTAAGGGTAGGTGATGGTGCTGAGTGCTCAATCACAGTTCTCAGAAGTTTCTTAGATGTCCAGCAATGTCCTGGTTGCCGCAGAGCCGCTCAATGACTTTATGAGCTGAGGGAGCCCTGATGCTTATGGGAGTTTTCTCTTATTATTCCTTTTGATACTAAAAGCTTACACTCTGCAGCTTGTCTCTGCAGACAGAACACATTAGGTGTGATGTCTTCTCATGCAAATCAAGCAAGCATGAGTGTGTGCCTGTGTGTGTGTGTGTGTGTGTGTGTGTGTATGTGTGTCAGTGGGGGTGGAGTGGGGTGTGTTGGGTATTGGGTGACTGACATACAAGCTTTCTGCCTAAGTTAGGGGTTTGCCTTGAATAGATGATTGTTATTTAAGGCAGCCCAAGGTGTAAGCTCATCCCTGTTGTCTTGAATGTCACTAGCTAAACAAAACCACAAATTATTAAGAATGTCAATATTAATATGCAGTTCCTAAGAAAAGTTCATTCTAAGCCAGCCTCTAGATTTTCTCATTTATTTGCTTTAAAAGTTGTTTTTCAGTAAATAGAATATGATATAAACAATTCTGTGAGCCAGCAACAGCTAAGTAAATGTCTTGCTTGAGCCAGGAAGCATAGCACTCACAGCAAAAGGCAAGGGCGAAGTTCTAGAGTTCCACCCTAGAATATTTTCAGATGTCACTTACTGTCATCCCGCATATTGAGGTGTCTGTGTGCCAGGCTATGTGCTGAGCATTAATAGTGAAACACATATATAATGTGATTAACGTCAGTCAAGGCGCTGGGGGCTGAGAAAATGGTTGTGTATTTCCACCCAGCTGGGGATGAGTGGAGCATCTGTATTTGAAACTACATCTCTCTAATTCCCAGCCATTCTTTACCTAATTTAAATTTCCTGGTGTGCGTTGTTTCTACAGATTGGCCTGGATTTTCTTTTTAATCTCCATATGTGCCTGTATGTGTCTGTGTCTTTGGTGTGTGCATGTGTGCTTTTTGTATTGGTGCAGGTG